CAAGAAACTCAGGAAATGTGGCCCACAAATCAATGTTTTAACAAGCTTTTCAGGTGACTATGATGCACACTAAAATTTGGATAGCATTGTCCTAGGTGATAATGGAGGAACAACTTGAACGAACCTATGTTCACACATGGCCATTTGGAGCAGTGTCACCCCACCTACCCCTCTCAATTCACAAAGTTTATTTGTGAAATCATATAGTTCTTTAAGTTACTGAATTGTTGACTCTCTTACAGCATTTGTCCTAAGTAGTATTTTTCAATATGCAATGCCTATTTAATATTCCCACCCTGTTTATTATGTCCACCCATTAAAATGGAAATCTCACCTAGGTTTGGGAAGTTTGCACTGGAAAATTGTGTAATGCCAAAGAATGCCAGGCCATTTTTGCCTTCCTTTAGTTTATTATACACACTGTTGATTGACGTTTTTAAAAAATGGCAAATCTAATCTCATCATTCTTTCATTTCAAATTGCTACTAGACTCTCATGGCATTTAGGCTAAAAGACAGCATGGTTACCTAAGCCTACAAGGTGTCACCTAATCTGATCCCCATCAGTCTCTCCAGTCTTGTCTAGAGTCATTTCACTTTTCTCTCTGTTCTAGTTACACTTTCTATCTTTCTGTTCATGAACTGTGGTAGGCTTCTTCATACCTCAGTTTTTTTCTCATGAAATTCACTTTCATGTCTTGCTTCCTCATCCTTTAGGTCTCTTCTCAAATATAATATAATTTCTTCTTCTCTCCCCTCTCTTCACCCTATTGTATTCCATATGAATCAAGTAAAAAATCTTACAATCTATCTTGCCTTTACATTTCTACTCATAGCATTAATTTTTTAAAAAAATTAATGTAGTGCTTTCTATGAATCTTTTTACTGGGTGTTATGTCCTCCTTACCTACCCACCATATTACAAGAAGCTTGATGAGGGGAGGTACCGTGTCTACTTGCTCACTATATGCCCAGCATCTGTTACTAGACCGGACGCATGATAAGCATTCTACAGGAATGCATGGAGCAGAGGGGAAAAAACAGATTATTTGAAACTCAGATAACACAACAACTTATCACTGAATACTATTTGGATCCTACTTGTTATAAAAATGTTGTTTCCTAAAGTTTTATTTATCAGAGTTATCCCTACCTACTTAATGGACTTAAATTCCTGCTTAATATGTTTCTATTAATGATTCAGTAAGGAACCATTTTGATCACAGAATCTTAGATTCTAGGTTAGGAATACACTATATCTCATGCACTGTTGTGATTCATTTTTATAAAACGATTTTAATTCCAACATATCATTGCTAAGTTTTTCAAAGGATATCCCTTTCATAATGTACAATCTCATCATTCCAGAATTCAAAACTATTTTTAGGCCATGATATAGGCTATTTTATACTTTCTCCAGCAGGGTAGCTTTTGTTTCATTCAAATTAGACTATTCAATATGTCTCATACATCTCCACTTCAGGGCCCTTGCAAACGTTCCCGTCTTCCAGAAATTCTCTCAGTATTTTGGCATTTTTCCGAGATATTTCTCTCATGGTGACTACTTCTGCCTGCTAATTACCTCTGCATTCTTCAAGGTCCATTTCCAGTACATTCTAGTAAAGTGGCTAACTAAACACAAGTTACATGCAGGGTGAGTCCTGTCAATGTGGATTCTTATCAGATTAGTGGCTCCCTGGCTACCAGGTTTCCCTGTCAAAGTGCTTCACAGTTTGTTTATATCTTACAACATATAAGGAATACAAATACAGTAAGAATACTTAAAAGAGAACGTTGGGAGTAAACTCGAGAATTCAAAAAGTTCTAAAATATTAAATCCATAAGTCAATTATTTAAATGGAAAATGCAACTCTAGAGTTACCAGAAACTAACATATGTGCTGCAAATAATAATAAATGTAAACAGCAAAGAACTAAAGGAATGTTTAGTAAGGACAAATCTTTAGCACTTTGCACAGTACTGAAACTGTGAATACCTACAATACAAGTAGGACACTTCGGCATATATCTTAGAGTACTGACATAGAAATGATCACTGAGGAAAAAATGATGCCAGATCCCACAGTGGGCTATCAAAATATAAAGTTTGAAAAATCATGGATATATATGAATTACATTTGCAAATTTCTATTTTTTTTCTATTTAGTTAACTCCCTCTCTTATAAAGACTTATTCCAGATTTTACAACAATACTTAGTTAATATAAAAATTATTTGTGCCAGATGAAAATGTAAAGCAACATTGTTCTACCAGGAGCCTGATTTGTCAGAAGCTCCAATGGCTACATTAAGTGATTCCAAGGTTGTCACACTGTTGTATTCCTTCAGGAGAATCACAGAGAGGTTCCCTGTCCTAGGATCTCCCTCGCCTGAGAATGTTTGGCTGTACTACAATTTAACATATCACAGTATGTTCAATTCAATTCTCTGGAAGCAAAGTATATGCTGTAGCCTAATAAAATTTTTTTTGACTAAGGAACTATGTGGGAGTTGTACCCATGGCATTCTTATTTGTAAAGGAAAGAGGAAAGCATTTAAGAATTATGAAGGAAGCCAAGTGAAACGCTTCATTGAAAGCATTTGAATTTCAGTGCTAGCTCTTCCCCTTAAGAATAATCCTAATGTGCATTAGGGCATCAAAACAATTTTTATTTAAGTACCCAGTCAATACAATTTTTCAAGGTCAAGATCATTATAACTTCAAAGTCCCTCTGCTCTGCTGAAAGCAAATGTTACCGAATGCTATGAAATCAGCAAACCAAATTAGCAGCTCAACTAAGCTTCTTGATATAATGAAGAGGGGCTGTGAAACAGGATAAAACTTTTTTCTTTTTTAACTAAATAATAGTATTATGTATAAATGACCATGAGCATTACTCTAAACTGTTCCTCTTTGCTCAGCCATTATTCTAGTTATACAGCATAAAAAAAATGAAGACTTAGAATTACATGACAACAATGACAAACTCTCCCATCTGTCTTTCTGAGACAGAAGGCTCCATCATCTCCTGAAGGAGAACACACCTGTGATTAGCACAAGACTAGGATATGGCTTCAAATTTGATGGAGAGGCACTTTTATAATATATCTCTTACTCCCAGGGAAATAAATCTCAGAATTCTAGAAGAGAAAGCAGATTGGATATTTCATTTCTAAAAAGTGACTTGTGTTCAAGCAAAATAAAAATAAGTAAATAAATATAATCAAACAAACAAGCAAGCACTTACTGAAAAACCCGAGGCAATATGTTTGTATACACGTAAACAAACAACATAATAAAAGTTTCTAAAAGATTCTTCCATGCATACTTGAGTGACAGCATTCAGGAAATGTTAAATTATGAATTTCTAAACCTATTTATATCTTAGGATAAAGGCTTAACACCTATAAACATCCTTCATCCTCACTGTCTTACCTGAGTAATGTTGTATCCTCAGGATCATAGTACTGAGGTTACTATGTGTGGGGCTAAAATACACAATAGCAGAGACATAGATCTTCCCGTAGTGGTGCTTATATCTCTCTGGACAGAGAGTAAATACAGTAAACAAATGACTATAGGATGGTGTGATCAGGGAAAATTCTCACAGCCTTCCAAAGGAAAGGGCAGAATATTGTAAATAGTGAAAGAAGTAAAAGTATATAAGGTGTGAAAGGGGAATTTTTATTTACAGCAATACAAATGAAAGAAAAACAACAGTGTAAGAGAAACATCAGATATAACATGATGTTGTCTTATCTTAAATTTCCATAAAATTAGCCCAAATTCCTTTAAGTATATAATTCTCAGTTAAATTCACCATTGTGTAAAGTCTCTTCTTCCTATGTTCTTTGTTCATTCTAATTCATTTGGAGACTATTTGAAAATGAACCTCAAAGCAATTTTTATGGTTTATCTTTTCATTACTTCAGTAATAAAATGTCAGCTTGCTCACTGTAATAGCTGGTGGCAGTTTAATTATATTCAAGGGAAATATCTATGTTCCTTTTCTTGTATTGTGTGATTACAGTGTTGAAAAATTCTGTAAATAAAGCAGTAACTGAAAAATTCTTTGGCTGTTTTAAAAATAATTCTGAGGCTAAGCTGTTATCACTCACCAAGAGAAATATTCTAGAATCATGTTAACCATTACTTTCAGAAATGCTTTTTGGCAGGGTGCATGATTGTGTCAGGATCAACAGAGCCCCCACATGATACGCTCTTCCATTAGTTTAAAATATTCTTATTTAGCTGTCAGAAAGCTACTGATGTTTGGTCAAGAATAGTAGTAGTGTCCAAATACCCTATGTGTAGTCCTAGCCAAAGAAATTTTTCCTGTGGGAAAAAAAAAACCAATGAATAAATCATTGTCTATACTTACTTTTTCTCTCACTTTTGAGAGAAGTTTAGAGCAGCAATCATTTTAATTGGCACTTTGAGTATAAGAATGCATCATAGCAGCTGTTAATATGCAGTTTTAAGACTAGAGAGTATGGTGACTTATCTAGATATATGAGTAATATGCACTCAGCTAAGCATATGGATTGTAATATAAATTATGACTATAGCATGAGGAGCGGTACAGAGTGAAACGTACAATAGCTGACTGTCTCCACTTAATCAGCTAACATTTTTCTAACACATAGGAAGGAAGAGTTTATTTTAACTATTGAAATATGATAGAGAATGAGTCATGATAACATCCTCTATCAGCTTTAGACATTTTGAAACATATAAGTATTTTTGATGTAGATACAAAGTCACATTTAAAAAAATCCATGATGCAAAAAGGAAATGAGAAACAAAAGCTATAAGAATTATCTTGAAGAACCCTCAAAATGTGAAGGAAGATTGTGTCTTTTTATTTTAAATATTTTATCTCATATTTTGATAGAGGAGATAGTTTAGTTATCTTGAACACAATTCAATTTACTGGTTCAGGTTAGCTGGTCAAAGACATTAGAGCTGGTTAAAGACATTAGAGATAAATAAAATAAATTACCTTCTCTTGATATTGCCGCCTTGAAGAATCCAGAGACTGGATTAAAGCGGTGGCATGGCCAACAAACATGGCATAGCAGGTGGCCCCGACGATCATGCTCAGCATGGTAATCCAGAGGTCAGACATGCTGACTGGGGCTTGGGCTCCATACCCAATGCACAGCATGTGACTCATAGCTTTGAAGAGTGCATATGAATACTGCTTTCCCCAAGAATCATTCTGGAACATGAGAGAAAAAGAAAATTGACTGAGCCATTAGGATCACAGAATGAAAAGTGAGTAGGACCTGTACACAGAAGTATTATAAAATACTGAATACTGGAAAAATCCTTATAATGGAGCATTTACAAATGTACTTCTTAGTAACTGTGAATTAAATGATGATATTTTAAAAATCTTTCCTACTATGATTAAGTGGAAACAGTCTGCTGTTAATTACATGTGCTCTTTGTCAGTTTTAAGTTTGCTTTTTTTAAAACCAAAATTTCTTTTGGGATAATAGTATTTCATGTAATCATGCCAAGAATGAATGCTTTAAGATTTCAAGAAAATGTGATCAAATAGTATTAATAATATATTTACAAGCTGTGAAATGAAGCAGACAGTGTGACATATACAGGCCAAAGTATAGACATTTTATCAAAACCATGAAGTTCAGATTTAAAAAATTCATATTGATATAATTGTATAGTCCTTAACACTATAATTTTTCTTAAATGAAAAGTTTAAACAAACATATATTGGAAATAAAGGTCTGATAAATACAAAGACTTCCTTGAAGCCCTCTCTCAAAGTGATGTATATTTTGCTTTGTGTCAGGATTGAAGACTGTTGAGTCTTATTGGCTTTTTATAAAATGATAAAATGAAATAGGCAAAAGAATATCTTGGCTTATGTCCTCGGGAAAAAAATTGGGACATGCTGACTTCTGAGATTACTTATTAGTTGTAACTTCTGATGTCATTTCAAAACAATTACAAGCTCATTTTTTAAAAAATGCTGTCCAATGTATTTTATCTAACTTTTGTTAAAATTAAATTATTGCTTAGATAAATTTTTATTGAACTTCCTAATTCAGGTATTACACAATTTATGAGAACCATAGGAAAATGAAAACAAGGGGCCTCTGGTTCTAATGTAGCAAAAAAACTTTGTTAAATATAATAAAATATAAGGATTTTCCCTTTAAGACTATTTTATTACTTATAAAACAATGTGATACTAGTGATAAATGAGTAATAATATAAACTCACAAATTTCAAAAATTAGTATTTTAATGTTATAATTATATGTAATACAATAAATAATACTGTATTAATGTGATATTTTGATTGATCATAACATTTTTCTGGTTTATTTTTCTGAAAATTCATTTCTTAAATTATCAACATTTATACAATTATCAACTTTATTTTCAATGATTTAGTTGAAAATGACATCAGCTGTCCTTGGCTATTGCCAGATTACAAATAATTTTTAATATTTAATTTTGAGCAATATCTTTCTATTAATTCAAATGTTATTAAAACTATTAGGAGTATTTTATAGGCTGTGATATTAGGGTCAATATCTGATAATGCATTTTAAAGTATATATTGGAGTACATTTGCAGCTGATGATTTTCATAGGAAACTTTTCAATAAATATTTAACTCATCATACCAATCAGTTTTATACCGATTTCACATGGAATTCAGTTTTTACATCTGAATTTAATTTTTTAATTAAAATTTTAACTTTAAGGTAATTGTAGATTTACCTGTAAGTTATAAGAAATAGTAGAGAGCTCCTATGTACTACACTTCACTCAACTTCCCCAGCGGTAACATAGTACAAACTATAGTATAGTTTCATAGCCAGGAAATTGATATTGATATAATCTACTCATCACATTTTTATTTCACTAATGTACGTGTACTCATTTGCATGCCTGTGTGTGTGTGTGTATTCACTTCTATGAAATTTTGTCTCATATGTAGGTTCATGTATTTATTACCACAGTCAAGATACAGAAAAATTCCATCACAAGGGTCACTTATACTGTCTTTTACTGAATTGAATGTTAAATGTAAATGTACACAATGATGTTTTAGTGTTACTTTTGACATTTCCTGTAACTTGTCAAGGTTGTGCAAAAACCAAAAGTATTTTCCTGATTTGCATGTAATTCAAAATGCCTGTTTATATATTGTATTGCTACATTTTTTTTTCTTATTTTTTTATTGCATTTTAGGTTTTGGGGTACATGTGCAGAGCATGCAATACAGTTGCATAGGTACACACATGGCAGTGTGTTCTGTTTGCTTTCACCCCTTCACCCACATTTGGCGTTTCTCCCCAGGCTATCCCTCCCCACTTCCCCCTTTCACTGGCCCTCCTCTTTTCCCCCCAATAGACCCCAGTGTTTAGTACTCCCCATTTTTACAAAGAAAAAATAATTTAAAATTATCTTCCTTGTGAATAAATGATTATATTAAAACTTCATATAAAAATCCTGTTCTTTTTCCATCAAATGTGAGCCTTAAATTTAATGTATATTTCTAAGCTTGTGGACATTTGCTATGCAATTTTGCAGCTGGTTTCAAAACTGGACATTGTAAACCCTGAAGAATTCTAATGACTTTCTAAAGTGCTTTTCTGCAGTGCCCATGTATAACATTGATTTTATAATAATTTATTTACAAAGTTTACTGCCTGAGTGCCATGGGTATTGTCTTGGAATTTAGGTGGGAGATTTAATATTTGTGTAGATACTGCAGGGATGATCCTTTGCGACTGATGAGCAAGCTGTCTATTCACTGTGGGTGTTTTCCCTGCCTGCCTGAGTAGCCACTTTCATCTCCCATGACTGCTTTTGTTGTGGCTTAGTCTCTTGCTGTGACAGATAGTCACTGCTAAGCTGGGCCCAGTCCTGGTTTGGCCACATCCGGGACATATAGCATCTAGACTGCTGAGTCATACATATGCTGCCTTGCTGTTAGGCCAATTGCATGCCTTCTGTGCCTACAGGCCTGAATCTGTGTGTGTGCTGCTGTCACCGTGCAGCTCTGCTGCTCATGTTCACACCTTGTTGTCCTAGTGGACTTCACTTACAAAACATAAGTTCAAAGATAAAATTATTAAGAGTTTCAAGATGGCAGAAGTAGAACATTAAACCAAGTACAGGGTTATTTTGACAGTGAGAGGCCCTGTGCAACTTCAAGGTCACGTATTATTGAAGCCATACCTGCATTTGTCAAATTAACCCTTAATTATCATAAACTTTGTCAAATCAACTTTTAATTATCATAAACTTTTCAAGCAATTTATTCTGAATAGATGTGGATAATTTCGTTGGTTGTTAACATGGCTTTTCAAAATCTAATTTGTAGATTTTAAAAAATAGAATATAAGATTTAAAAGCCCAGTCTTACAAACCACAGAACGGCACATAGCTGCTGAAAAATAAAGAAAGTAACTAGCCCCATTTAGTTGAAAGGATGAAGGTTCTTAAAGTGAAATTCACTGTTATTTAATTATAAAATAAAGTTCTGCTCATATTAAATTATCCTCTCTATATGTGTATTTGTATACGAGTAAAAAATAAAATTTAATTTTAACACTAGAAAATTACTCGTATGTCATATTTTAATATGTATGTAGTGTAATAAACTCATAAAAAACTCTTATTTCGGAGAATGAACAAATTTATACTTTATTTTATAAGTGAAAATGTATAAGTCTCAGAAATACATCTAAGATTTCCAAAATTCTAGATGGTACATGAACAAGAAGTGGTATATTCGCATTTACTAAAATGTAAAATATAATTCAAGATTTCCTTCCTCCACATAAGGACACAGAGAAGGTATGTTGTTAAAGCATCTTCTAAACGTATTTAGATAAAATGGACATAATAAAAAGTTCAATGGGTGTCAAGTGGAGACTACAATTTAATTCTATAGATATTATTTATTTCTTTGTGTTTGAATGGAGGCAGAGTATGGAGCTGGAGCTGGAAAAGAAAGTTTAATTCAGTTTCTCTAAATAATGCAGCTATGTCTATTTTCATTTATCTCACTAGGGACATACAACATACACCTGCACATATATGCTCTTAAAAGACTTAAAATAAATATTTATTTAAAATGCTTTCTTACTTTTAATAATCATGGGTAAATTTTCTGTTTTCCATTTTCTCATGTTTCCATTCCTCTCTTTCCACATATTCTCAAAAAGTATGTATGGATCATTCTGTACCTTTCTCCATGTTCATATAATCACACACACACACAACACACACACACACACAGACACATCCATAATTCTGACTTTTTTCCCAGAAAAATGAATCATATTATATATGTTCTTAATGTTTTTATCACGTAGAAAATGCCTTCAAATAATCTGCTATTCATAGAACTATGTAATAGTCTGTCGATCATGCCATAATTTACTCATTTTTCCAGTGTTCTCCAGCTTTTGCCACTACAAGCTATTCTGTAATAAATAACTTTATTCATATATCCTTTATTTCTATCAATACGACTCCCAAGAATGTGATTGTTGATTCAAAGAGTAAGATTTTCAGTTTGATTTTAAAATACATTGCCAGACTGATTCAAAAGGCAGAACTTTTTCCAAAATAATGTCTAAAAAAATACTGTATCACCTTATATAGTGAGAAATAATAATCTGTTGTTACTTTTATTAGCATTTCCCTCGCTGGGGAATTTGAGAAGGCGTTCATGTATTTATTTACCAACTCGACTGTCGCATGTCTAATGAAATTTAAATTTTTTTCTTATTAATCTACAATGCCTCCTCAAAGACTAGATGTCACCCCTTTAACTTATATGTGAGATAAATATTTATTCTTAATTGATCATTTGCCTATTGAGCTTCTAATCATATAATTTCTTATACAAATAGTTCAATTAGTTTATGTAGGAAAATTATATCTGTAATTTCCTTGACAGCCTCTGGATTTCTCATATTGATTAAAAAGGTATCTCTAAATGAGATTATTTCTATGCCCTGAATGTTTTTTAAAATTATTTTATTTTTGTACATTTTCTTTATTCTAAATGGATTGTCTTTTGTACCAGGATATAATTTTTAATAAATCACCAGGTCTACATACAGAAAAAAATACCTCTTTATTATATATTGCCTCTTATAAAAATGGTGTTTGTTCTGGGCTCAATATTTTGTTTCACTGCTCTATTTAGCTATTTTTAT